AACACTTAAAGTAATATTATAATCCAGGCCTTGACCGTCAAACCCCTAACTGTAGCATTCAATATACCTTGACTATACTTTTTGAAACACCCAGTGCTAAATGAACAGCAAGCAAACCCTGGAAATGTAACAGAAATATTAACACATGGTATTCCTTGATCTCTCTGTAGAAAATGATGAGAAAAATGATGAGAAAAACCAGGGCATTCTGTGAAGCTTGGCAGAAATCCAGTTGATTTCAAAATGTCGCCAACATAATCTACAGAGTTGGCCATGAATTTTAAGACTATTACAATATTTGTGGAGAGGCCAATCTTTTTTTGCCTTTTCACTAAACTCCGTTGCGAAGGCTTCAAAGTGTGTGTCGTTGTGTGGAGAAGCACCCAGGGTGCCTTCAGTTGACCAGGCTGTGGTCTGCCCCTTCTTGCACTGTTTGGGCCGACACGGACACCGACCTGGAGCCAAGTGGAGCAGCAGGCACACTATTGGATTTCCTCAGCACAAGAGAAAAGGATCCCTCGGGGGCAGCCTAGGATGGGTTCCTACCGACATGTGAGCGGAAAGGGCTTGTGCTAGAGAATCTTCCTCGCTTTCTCCTGCTCCAGCAACCTCTCCCACATGCCCCCTAAACCTCTCTCCGGGACATCGGGGGACCCTTGGGAACAAAGTGCCATGTGGTGTATGAGAGAGTGCAAAGTGGCCTTTCTCACTCTGTTTCCGTTCCACACGCAAGGAACAAGTTCTACCCTTTTCCTTTCCACTCACAGGGCATCCTACACACTTCCTAAGGATCCCGTGAACCCCAGAATGCCCTTTCAGGCTGTGTGGTGTTGTCATATCAAGGGAGGCGGCGGCAAAGACCTGATATTTGAACAGAGTGCTGCTCACAGCCCTGTGGAGCCAGTCCAGCGCTGCTGTTCTGACTGAGATCTTGCACGCAATGAAGGTTCTCACAGGCCTCAAACCCAAAACACTCCTCTCAGGAATTGCGAGAACGTATCCTGCCACTCCACGGAATAGAATCGGAAGCTCTCCCCCAACCTTCCTCCGTCGGATCGTCTTCCAGCCCGAGGTCAGATCCTGCCACTAATCTTTTTTCTTCCACAGCAAAACCACGTAAAAGGTGCCACTGGACTGGAATGCTGTTCTGTTACCTCAGAGCGACACGGCCACCCACCAGAGCGTTGCTCATGAAAGGTGAAAAATTCTTTTCCAATATAAATTCAGGCGGGGGTCGCTGTGTTGGTCCGAAGCAGCAGCACAAAGTTTGCGTCCGGCGGCACCTTCAAGACCAACAAAGTTTCACTCTGGGTAGAAGCTTCCGTGCGCACTCTTGCTTCTTCAGAATATTTCCAATACAAGTTTGCACTCCTCTCTTAAGCTATCGACTTGAGTTGTGATAGCCATCAGCAGAAATATCACCTTCTCGCTTGCCTCACAGAAGCCATTTTGACACCCAAACCGTTACACAGAGAAGAGATCCTATGATGACAGGTCCAGGCAAAGTCCTGGATTTTGCCTTCTGGAACCCCCTTAGGAGCCTGATCCAGATGCACATGTTTCCATGGGAAACTGAAAGCATGGAGTCCTCTCCAAGGGCTGCTCCGCGAGAGGCTTTTTGCTCTTCCAGCTCCTGCCCAACTATGACACTTTGCTTTCCGTTAGCTCCCATCAGTCATGGAAGTATTTCAGCAGTCGTCAGCGAGGAGGGAATCTAGAATGTGCCAGCACAATGGAACAAAAGAAGGAATCACCTTTGGGTACCTGGAAACTCCTAGAAAAAGGGAGATGAGAATGCCTCTTGCGCACAGAGACAGGGGCCAACAACGAGAGGGGTCACGCATGCACATGCTGCGCCTAGTGCTTTTCCAAACCAGCATTTTTGTGGCCAGGCTCCTTATAAGAGCAGCCCCTGAAAACCCCAATGTCGCTCCTAGGATCCCCACTCCTTGTTCATTGACATGAGTTGTCAATTAGGCAAGGGATATTTATATATTCCAATGGCTTTCCCCCTGTGGTGGGAAGCTCTCTCTTTTGCCTGAAATACTTCTTTTTGAGTTGGGAACAGATTAAAAAGCAACTTGGGAGTGCATGGGTCTCCTGTAAGGCCAACTGACCCAATAGGTGGAAATACATGCTAAACGGAGGGCTTGTTTATGGAATCGCAACCTCAAAACAAGAACCACTGAAATCTCTCATTAGCTCACACGATCAAGGGATTAACCAAAATAAAGGTTTTCAGTCAAGAAAAAAAGCCCCTGGAACAAGTAATCACGCAAGCAAAAGAAGTCATTCTCTACGATATGCAGATATGACCAGAATTCACAATCTTTCCCCCAGGTTGTCTCACCAGGAATTTCTTACATTACCTAAACATTTCTACCTATAATGCATTTTACACACACTTATTAATTAAGCCCTTAGATTTTTCTGCTAAGAGTACATTAGTGCTGGACAACAATCCCACAGTAATCCGGCTTTGTCCTTTGAACACGGTTTCTACCCGCCAATCATGTTGCCAGAAAGTCATCTGCAAGCCTGGAAAGGGAAGAGAAATGCACCAAAGCAGACAGTAGGGTTAAGCTTTCTTGCAGACTTGTACGGGTAAATTTGCTCACTGAAGTCAACCTTTAAAAAAAAAAAAATTAGCCAGATAGTTCAAAAAACACTTTCTGAAAGACTCAACTTGCATTCATGGTCATCAGAACTCAAAACAGCAAATCGCAAAGAAATGGCCTGGATTTGAACCGGCACTACAGTAGAGCAACCAGGCAGGCCTGTTGGAGCACCACCTGGCCTCCCGTTTCAGCACAGGGTCCTTCAGATTCATTAGAGAGCCCAATGAAGGAACCGATGCTGGATGGTGAAAAAGCCAAGCCAAAGACTACAAATCCTTTGTCCACGGAAGAACCTCAGGGCCTCACCAGAGTCAGCAGGCTGCAAGTGTCTATGTACTCTCTTTGCAGCAAGATCAGAAAACTTCTCAACCCAGGAGCAGGGGAGGGGGGGGGGGAAGAACTAAGGATGTAGAAAAATATGAGGTAGCCAGTGATTTACAAACAAAAATAAAAATAACGTTAAGCAAACGAAAAAGAGCCTAACCAAAATAAAAATTCAGAATCCAGATATTAACTCGCCTAAATTACAGTGAATAGAGGGTTCGTCTATACAATCATAGCCACGAAATAATAACCTCTTAATTCACTTTAATTGCTCATTAGTTAATATGATCAAGGGATTAACCAGAAGCCAAATTTTCTAGCAAAGAAAAAAGCCCCTGGACAAATCCGAGTTCTCGACTTCATTCCATTTCACCTTGGAACAAGTGATTTTGTAAACAATTAAGAGGTCATTATCTCTGGTATGCAAAAATGTGAGCCAAATTCACTATTCACTTCTACTACGCTGTAACCCAAGAATTACTGACGGTGTCAGTCAGAGTGTATGTGTGAGACCGAGGGCTACTTCACACATGATAGCCTTTCAACATGGTACAGGGGATGTTTTCATGCACCCACTGTTATGCATGAAACAAATATCTGTTTAGTTGCGCTTAACATGCACTTGGAAGCTACTGTATGCTTTAGGTTTCAAGACATTTGTGAAATTTTCCTTCCATATGTACGTCTTTTTTTCTCTGCAACCTATGCTGAAAAGGTGTCTCGTGTGAAGTGGCCCCGCCCTCCCTGAAATCCCTGCCTGTGTAAACTAGAACTGCTGAGTCAGGAGACCAGCCCTGGCATCCTTGAACCTTTGTAACCGAGTCAGGTATCCAGAATGATGTAACCAAGTCCAAAAAGCGCCCCAAGAGAAGACCTAAGTTCTCTGAACTTTAAACCTCATTTTAAATGGCGGCGGAGTGGTCAACACTACAAGAAAATAAAAGCAATATATATATATATATATTCATGATTTAAAACCTATTTGTGATTAATATATCTGAGATTCTAAAGCAAGCCTTAAAACAGCAGAATCCGTTACATAAACTTTGATACTTCTACGGCTAAAACTGCATTCCTAAACACACTTACTGGGAAGCAAACTCTCGCTGAACTCAGCAGAACTTACTCCTGAGTAAACATGCATAGAATCCGATTGTTAGTCACCTAATCAGGTAGATTTGAAAATGTCTCTCTTTGTACACAGGGCTCAACTAGTTAAGGCTAATGGAGTGTCTGTAAGAAGCCAGGACAGTAAAGTTCGTAACACAGTAACGTACCAGCAATTCTTTTGTTTTGAAAGTGCATGTTAGGGTAAGATTATAGGACCCCCAGCCTCTTGCAGAATGTCATACCATGTGTAAAATCAAGCATCTATGATATGATGGTCCAGTATTACACGTACAAGGTTTCAGCTATGTTCCCCAAAAAAATAACATGGGGGAGTTCCTTGGAATTCTGCTCACCTTGGGAAGTAGTGACTGAATGAGTATCAGCATTGGTTCGTGCTCCTAAACCGCTGGAATATGGGTGAGCTTTGCATGACTCCCTCCCCCCTCCCCCATGCTGGAAAACGTTGAAAAACGAGAATTCCCCGTCCTGAACCCCCAAATCTACATACTGGAAAGGGCTTTTCTCTGAAATGTATTATTAGTTTGCCTGAAATTACTTGTCTGCCGAAAAGCTGACAGCTTGAAGAAGGTATTGAGCACCTAGCGGAGTTCACCAGTACCTTGGGGATTATAAAAATCTATGGAAAACGTGCCACCTGTCAGTTCCTGCTAAAAAGGTAACACCGGTTTTTAGAGCGAAACAACAGAACTACTCTGCACTCCCTTCCTTTCCTTCCTTCCCTCCTCACCATGGGTGCCAAAGTGAGGCTGGGTTGACAAAATAAGGTTAACAAGAAAATAACAATAATTAAAAAAAACCAGCAACAAAAATGACAACAAAGATAACCAACGGCATGTCGACATCTGAGGAAAAGTGGGGTTGTAAGTGCAGAATTTCTTCATGTGCAGCTGATTTTTCTACTTCAGAGTCCCCTTTGGAAGAGAAGGCCTAATGGAATGTGTGCTCCCCTCGAACAATGTGCGACGAGAACTCGTAGCGGTCCTGACTCCGGTAGCCACAAATGTTGCACTCTAAAGGGTCCCGGTAGCCGTGACACCCCATGTGGATGGTGTACATGACATGGTCTAGGAAAAGGACGCGGCAGTGCTCGCACTTGAAGGCCCGTATCTGTTCCCCTTCTCCGTTGAAGACCTTGTAGATATCCTTTAAAGAGCCCTTCGACGTTTTAGTGACGTCCACGGCCTTGGAGTCCTCCTTCATGTACGCAGGGCTTTGCTTCCTTTTGGGATTTAAGGCAGGAGTTCCTTGGTAGGACTGGCGGTCTTCGTGGCTGCTTTCTGAGTCACTGGAATCCAGGCAGCTGTTGCTGGGAGAGGCCTCTCTTTCCTGGGGTCGACTCTTTGGTCTGATGAGGGAGATGGGGCCATCCATGTTGTTTTCGTTGCTGTCCGCTGTTTCTCTGCTCACGGGCCTTTCTATCCTGTTAGGGTTATAGACCGGACCGTAAGCCGAAGTGATGACGGGCGCCACATCAGCCATCGTGCCCGGCGTGTGTTGCATCAAGGGGTGAAGCGCCTCCGCCCCAAGGTAAGAGATGGCGTTGTTGATTGCTTGGTCCATCATGTGAGTCTGCATCAGCTCAGTTTCCCTCTCGTAGGGTAAGCTAGTCTCGTAATGGATATCCGGGTAGCCGAACCTCATGAGCTTCTCACCTACACGAGAATGACAGCAATGAGACAAAAAGAGATACGTATCACTCACAGGGTTAAGGAGAAAACATATCGGTGCTCTACATATCTCCTTGGAGCAAAAAGAGGGCCATTCGGAACAGTGATGCTGGCACCTTGGCAAGAAAAGAACAGCCATGAATATTCCGGACTAGGCAGGGGACCTGATCAATTTACCGAATGCGGAAGAGCTGAATCTATGTGTGAAAGGCATTCTGACGATAACTTTGCAAGAGGAAGATACACGTCTTCTAACTAGGTTGTGGTGTGCATGTCCAGTTTAGGATTTAATACACTATAACTTATAATGTTGAACTTGTCACTTCACAGTCCATAAACCAAAACTCGTGGTTTTGTAAACACGCTTACAACACAGTCAGGCAAACCCTCTTTAGTCTGCCTGGCTTGCACATTTCCGAGGTCCATCAGAGCTATATTTACACATAGAGAGAGCCAGTTTGGTGCAGTGGTTAAGTGCGCGGACTCTAATCTGGGAGAACCGGGGTTGATTCCCCACTCCTCCTCCACATGCAGCTGCTGGTGTGACTTTAGGTCAGTCACATATTCTCTCAGAGCTGTTCTCTCAAGGGCAGTTCTTGAAAGTGCTCTCTCAGCCCCACCTACCTCACAGGGTGTCTGTCTGTTGTGGGGAGGGGAAGGGAAAGGAAAGGAGTCTGTAAGCCGCTCTGAGACTCCTTCGGGTAGTGAAGGGCGGTGTATAAATCCAATCTCTCCTTCTTCTAGAAAATATATCCAGGTACAAAATACCCATGACTCTTTCCAGCCTCAGTGGCAGATGCTCTTAAGGTATGTGGGAAAAGGGTCTGAGAAAGGACGGGGGGGGGGGTCTCTGTTTTCATGCGCTAAGACACATTTGTCAAGTTTTATGCCAACTTTAAACTATGTACAGCTTATTGTAAGTAGGAACCTATTTATGTAATTTCCGCATCATTTAATGTGTCGTGTGAATCCTGATGCTGCGCTGGGGTTCTTCCTGGCAGTCCCAGACTCCTGCATCCTAACGGGGTACCGAATGTCCCATTCTGTTGACCGCACTGCCTCACTGTGTGCAATCCGCTTTCAGTCCCGGTGAAAAAGATGGACTGTAAATCATGTTTAAAAACTTGGCAAAAAGGCAGGTGTGTTTTTCCAGTCTGGTGGATATGCCGGAGTATGAGACATAAAGGAGCTGAAGCGGTACAACACATTTAGAGTCCGGCAGCACCTTTAAGACCAGCAAAGTTTCAATCAAGGCATGAGCTTTCTCAAATACACAAGTGTGCCTTGCACACGAAAGCTCATACCTCAAATGAAACTTTGCTGGTCTTAAAGGTGCCCCCACCGGACTCTAGATTTGTTCTACTGCTTCAGACCGACATGGCTGACTACCTGGCACGGACTGAGCCAAGCTTGGTCAGAGACATCCCTGGCTAGCTAAAGGCTCCCAAAGCCGTGTGTATTTCATCCCTTTGTGTAAAAACAGCCTGGCTTTTACATTTGCAAAGGGGCAGGATTTGCAGAAATATCACACAGTTAATTCAGCTACTCGACATTAAGACGCAAGATCTGCAGGGCTAGCACATCAACCTGACCCAGGGGCAGGCAGCTTTCTTGGCCCATACGTTAAAAACCCCACAGTGTCCATCTGTGAAGATACTGGTGGGCCAGCAAACAGAAGGAGGAGGAGGAGGAGATTGGAAGTATACCCCATGGCCCTTCACTCAGAGTCTCAGAGCAGCTTACAGACTCCTTTCCCTTCCCCTCCCCACAACAGACACCCTGCGAGGTGGGTGGAGCTGAGAGCGCTCCAGGAGACCTGCCCTTGAGAGAACAGCTCTGAGAGAACTGTGGCTTGCCCAAGGTCACTCACCTGGCTGCATGTGGAGGAGGAGTGGGGGAATCAAACCTGGTTTTCTAGATTAGAGTCCGCCGCTCTTAACCATGACAACCAAACTGGCTCTCACGTCACCAGAAGGAGGGTGAGGAGCGTACTTCAATAGACACCCTGGCAGGAAGCTGAGACTCAGTGGCTGTGACCTCCTGGCACTGAAGGGGTGAGTGAGCCATTTGGCTGCTGCATAAATTAGTTTGCTCCTGGAGCCCCATCCTTCCTGAGCGAAGACAAAAATCAGTGAGCTGGAGGCTAAAAAGCTGTGAGCTAGCTCACACTAACTCATAAGAACATAAGAACATAAGAGATGCCAATGTTGGATCAGGCCAAAGGCCCATCCAGTCCAACACTCTGTATCCCACAGTGGCCAGAAATACCAGTGCCATCAGGAGGTCCAACAGTGGGGCCAGGACATTAGAAGCCCTCCCACTGTTGCCCCCCCCCCCAAGCACCAAGATGACAGAGCATCCCTTGCCCCAGAGTCCCTATCTATACCTTGTGGCTAATAGCCACTGATGGACCTCTGCTCCATATGCTTATCTAATTCCCTTTTGAAGCCGTCCATGCTTGTAGCTGCCACCACTTCCTGTGGCAGTGAATTCCAAGTGTTAATCACTCTTTGGGTGAAGAAGTACTTCCTTTTATCCGTTCTAACCCGACCGCTCAGCAATTTCATGGAGTGCCCACGGGTTCTTGTATTGTGAGAAAGGGAGAAAAGTACCTCTTTCTCAATCCTGCTCTTTCCCATGCATAATTTTATAAACCTCAATCATGTCACCCCTCAGTCGTCGTTTCTCCAAGCTAAAGAGCCCTAAGCGCCTTAACCTTTCCTCATAGGGAAAGTGATCCAACCTTTTTATCATTCGAGTTGCTCTTTTCTGCACTTGTTCCAAAGCTATAATATCCTTTTTAAGGTGTGGTGACCAGAATTGCACACAGTATTCCAGATGAGGTCGCAACATTGATTTATATAGCGGCATTATGATATTGGCTGATCTGTTTACAATACCCTTCCTAATAATCCCCAGCATAGCATTGGCCTTCTTTATTGCAGTCACACACTGTCTCGACATTTTCAGTGAGTTATCTACTACAACTCCAAGATCTCTCTCTTGATCAGTCTCTGCCAGTTCAGACCACATCAACGTGTATTTATAGTTAGGATTTTTGGCTCCAATGTGCATCACCTTGCACTTGGCCACATTGAACCCCATTTGCCATGTTGACGCCCACTCGCCCATCTTTGACAGATCCCTTTGGAGTGCCTCACAATCCTCACTGGTTTTCACCACCCTGAACAACTTTGTATCATCTGCAAATTTAGCCACTTCACTGCTTACTCCCAACTCCAAATCATTAATGAACAAATTAAAAAGCAGTGGACCAAGTACTGATCCCTGTGGTAACCCACTGCTTACCCCCCTCCACTGGGAGAACTGCCCATTTATACTCACTCTCTGAACTGCCCATTTATACTCACTCTCTAACTCGGCTTAGAGGGAACACTGCATGCCCACGCCTTTGCCCTTTTCCCTTCCAGAGCCGGCATCAGCATCCTCTGAGGTGGAGCAACTGTTGGGGCCCAAAGCTGTTGGCCCCTCCCTGCCTACTCCCTTGCTAACGCTCCACCACCCAGAGTCCCAGCTGCAGGCACGCGCCGCCAGGGCCACTGGAGAAAGAGATTGGATTCATACCCCATGGCCCTTCACTACCCAAAGGAGTCTCAGGGCAGCTTACAAACTCCTTTCCCTTCCCCTCCCCACAACAGACAGACACCCTGTGAGGTAGGTGGGGCTGAGAGGGCTCTGACAGAAACTGCTCTTTTTCAAGAACAGCTCTTATCAGAGCTATGGCTCGCCCAAGGTCATCCAGCAGGTGCAAGTGGAGGAGTGGGGAATCAAACCCGGTCCTCCCAGATTAGAGTCTGTGCTTTTAACCACTACACCAAAGGGCTGCAGGCAGGTGAGCAGGCAGGGTGGAAGGCGTGAAAGGGGGTGGGAAGGAAGGAGGGCACAAGCAGGGGGCCTGAGGTGGGCAGAGGAGGGGAAGGTGGTCCTGTAAAGGGCCCCCCCAACCTGGAACAGGCCCTGGTCCCTTTGAAAGCAAATGGAAGTTATTCCCAACAGCAAACATGCCCCTTTTTTTCCCTTACAGGCAAAGTTATCTGTACCTCCCGGGAGAGCCAGGGACAAAAGGGAGGCTCAGGGTGTAGGAATGGATGACAAAGACATCTTGAAATGGCAGCGGGGTGGGCGGGCAGGGCCATGGGGAAACTCTGCAAGCCAGGACAAAGTTGGCAATTCAGGAGTGACAGGAAGCCAGTGTGGGGATTTAAGAAGGGACACCTCATCTTCAGAAAGCAACCCCGGGCAGAAAGGTAGCGGGACACAAACATTGCTGAAAGGACTGAAAGGAAGAGTTTAGACCAGTGGTGGCGAACCTATGGCACAGGTGCCAGAGGTGGCACTCAGAGCCCTCTCTGTGGGCACGCGTGCCATCGCCCCAGACCATCATTAAAGTGTCAAATTCTCTGCCAAATAATTTTAAGTAAATGAAAGCATTTGGGATTGCTTTCCTTACTTTGTTTGGATCATCTTAAGTTAATGTATGAGTTGTTTTTTCTAAAGTAAAACCTCAGTATTCAGGTTAAATTGCCGTGTTGGCACTTTGTGATAAATAAGTGGGTTTTGGGTCGCAGTTTGGGCACTCGGTCTCTAAAAGGTTCACCATCACTGGTTTAGACCATTATTCTTGTGTAATATTTAATTCACCTATATCTAAAAGAAGAATATCTACTTCATAACCGCATAGATATGGACATTGTACTAGCAGGAAGACATATACCGTTAAAACGGCAGCTAATTTAAGCCCAGGGACGGAAAGAAACCCACCGACACACGCCTGGCTCACCCTATATATGAAGTGGGTTAACATCTGTGCCATGAAGACTGCTAAACAAAATTTGCTTCACTCCGCTCTCTGAGAAGTGTCCAGTGAATACCAGGACTCGCTTAGTCTGCTTCAACTTTTCTCTGCTCTGGGAGTGTGCCACCTTCCCTTCCTTTCTTCTGAAATTTCGACCCTGACATTGAGACTGGCTCAGCTCACAAGTTCTACTGGCCACAAGGAACCCGCCCCAGAGCACGGATGGCACCTCTCCCCCTCCCCGCTACTCCAGAGCAGCCCTGGCTTTTGCAAGGCGTTTCAGCCTAGTGGTCAAAAGCGCACACAGGAGGTGGTGGTCTGACCCACTCGAATTCAAATCCCGCTGAAAATATAGCAAGTTGATGGCATGGAGAAGATGCGTTTGTCTCACCCTTCACTTCCCAATCTGTATCACAGCAACAGGTGAGTTGTTAAATTACAGGTCATCTTCACAGGTAGGGTGCTGATTCATTCTTTGTTGCATGGTGATTAAGGGACACAGCAGAGTATAAATTCTTACTCTTTATGACATTTATAGTCTGCCTATTTTCCATCCTGGAGCTCGAGGTGAGAAGCGGGGTAGTTTTCAGAAACGCACAGGGACAACAGGAGAAACTGAAACCAGCACTGTGGCAGCCGCTGCCGCCGAAATGTTTTTTTAAATCTGCGCAGCCAATCGGATCTCCCATGGCCAACCAGACGTCCTGCTGGGGGGGAAGCCCCATCTGGCCACGCCCACTTTCTAAGACCACTTGGCAGGTGCCACGAAAGGTCTCCGTGGCGGCCACTGGAGCCCAATGGGAACGAACCCTGCAGCAACCACCTGTGAACCGAATATTCTTCCGGATTGATTCGTGTATCAAAAGTCCCTCTTTCGACAAGGGCAGAAGCATAAGTAACGAGAACCACTTTTTCAAAATGGCTGCTCTGTGCCCCTTTAGCTTCTGTCGATGTGCCCCGGACCCCGGGCTCCCTCAGCCTGCCCTGTTATCGCTGGGCCCTCTACTTCCCCACCAACTGCCGCGAAGAAAATATTCCACACAATGACCGCCTATGACACAGATAACGGGGAAGAACAAGGATTGGGGACACGGACCGAGCACAGATGCAGAGGATGCGGAGAGAAACGAGAGTGCCAAACAGTGGTCAGTGCTGGGCTGAACTGGGACTTGACACTGTGGCCTCGAGAGGAAGAGGGGGTCGCCCGGCACCTTAAGTCCCAGGTCCTGAAAAGGCGGTGGGGTCAGCCTGCCCCTCAAAAGACTCTGAAATCGGCTTCTGGGATCAGGGAGGGACTGGAAGGGGTCCCAGGAAGGGTCAAGGCAAATGCTCCCCCAACTGTGGGAAGAGGGGGGGCGGGCAACTGAAACTCTACCCCCCACTGAGCAGAGGGGCTTCCCAAGCCCACCCCCTCCCCAAAGAAACTCTCTCTGATTTTCCTTGGGTTTCAGCATGAGCCACTGCTATTTTACCAAACACCTCCGTCCCCTGAAATAATATATGTGGAGGATTATGTTCTTCAAAAGCCACTTTTGCCTCTTGAGTTGTGGAGGGCTGCAGATCATCCCTGCAAGTGCATCACAGACCCAACAGCCGCCTGCGTTCTTCCCTCGTGTTCCCTCCTTCCAGTCGCCTGGCTTGAGAATTCCAGGTCACCTGCAGACCTCCCTGTCCCCGTCCCCCCCAACACAGAGGGGAACACATTCGGCCTGGACAGGCCCCGGAGACAGCCTTTGGAACAGCACTCGAGGAGGGACATTCACCAGTCAGCAAAGGTTTGGCCCCACAAAGACGCTCCCACCCTCACGCTACACACACACTCTCTCTCTCTCTCTCTCACACACACTCTCTCTCCTGAACTTCATTCTGGGAAAACTTTTAGGAACAGTAACCAAAACAAACAGATGCACAATGGATTCTGATAGCAGGAACCACTGTGAGAAAACAACATTACGGCACTGGAAAATGCCAGGTGTGCTTCAGTTACTCCTTTCTGTCCAAATAACGTCATGACACATAACAAAGTCCAGAAAAGCACCCTTAGAATCACAGAATCATAAGAGTTGGAAAGGACCTCCAGGGTTATCTAGTCCAACCCCTTGCACAAAGCAGGGAATTCACAAACACCTCCAGTGACCGCTGTTCCGTGCCCAGAAGATGACAAAAAACCTCCAGGATCCCCGGCCACCGGCCTGGAGAAAAATGGCTTCCTGACCAGTGTTCCTTCTAAGCTGAGTTAGTGTGAGCTAGCTCACAGTTTTTTAGCCTCCAGCTCACACATTGTTGTCTTAGCTCAGGAAGGATGGCTCCAGAGCAAACTAACTTATGCAATTGCCAAATCGCTCGCTCACAACTTTAATGCCCCAGTAGCTCACAAAGTAGATTTTTGCTCACACAGCTTAGAGGGACCACTGTTCCTGACCCTTATATATGGACTGGGGGAGGGGGGACCCACCTGCAAATACAATATTGGCAGATTCCTGCTTTTACCCGTGAACCCAAGAAGCTGCCTGATACCGAATCAGACCCTCGGTCCATCAAGGTCAGTATCGCCTCCTCAGATTATTTGCAATTATTTGCCTTTATTTATTTAATATCCTGTTCTCCTCCCCAGTTTGGACTCGAAGTGACTCTCTGAACATCACTCTCCCCTCCTCTGTTTTCCCACAACAACAACCCTGTGAGGTAGATCAAAATGAGAGTCCGTGAGGGGCCTAAGGTCACCCGGTGAACTTCAAGTGGGGATTTGAACCCGGGTCGCCCAGTGGAGTTCTAGTCAGCCCCTCTATCCCCTACCCCACACTGGCTCTCTGGTGGCAGCTCTCCAGGGTCTCAGGCGGAGGTCTTTCCCATCACCTCCAGCCTAGTCCTTTTCTCAACTGGAGATGCCACCGGGGATTGAACCAGGGACCTTCTGCATCCCACGCAGAGGCTCTGCCACTGAGCCATGGCCCCTCCCAAGTCTGGAATTCTGAACAACCAGAGAGGTTTTTTTTAAAACTAATGTTTACTAATGTATTTATATTGTGATGCCGGATGGCCCTGTGATCCGCCCCGAACCCACTTGTGGAGAGGGCAGAATAGAAGTTCGAAAAATAGACGAATAAATAAAGCTCGCCAGCTTCCTAGGCTACTCCGCAATCATGAGGGATGGAACGGGATTCTGCCCGAGGAGCCGTGCTACGTGGCGCTTGTGAGACCCCTTCTGGCGAGGCCTCTACCACGCGGCTGGCCCACCCCACCCTCCCGGTTGGATGCCCCGTGCCGGAAAGGTCCACAGCAAAGGGGTCCTCAGGATTTAACAGCAAGCTACCCTTCCGGCCACAAACAACAACAGAACGGCTCGTCTGACGCTTACCCACAAACTTCTGTGGGGTGGAGCTTTTACGCTTTCCCATGTTGCTTGTCAGCTTCTCTATAACAGCAGGTCTTTCAAAAGGCACCAGAGAAACATTGTTGTCCATCACAGGTTCTTGTTCCTTACAATCTTCCACAGTAGGTACTACATGAAACCAAAAATCCAAATCAGAGAGGTCTGCCTACACTTCCGAGAGAAATTTCATAAACAAACAAAAATGGTCACTGTTTCGGAGTCTGGAAAGGCACAGACGGTCAGCCAGCAGAGAGCGTTGGGGGGAGGCATCGGCTCGGGAAGGGACCCATGAGGGACGAGGGGCTTTCCCCCTTCCCATTCGTCAGTCGGGGTTTTACTGGGCATCTTGGCCGTTAGTCAAATGTTATCATTCAAAGGCTGATACCGTATGTTGTAACGGGCTTATTTTATTGACTTATCCTCACGACAACCCTGTAAGGAAGGTGAGGGTGTGCGGCTGGGCCCAAGATCGCCCAGCCAGCTCCCACCGCAGAGTGGGGATTGGACCCTAGTCCGGCATTCCACCCACCCCGCCACGCTGCCTTACTGATTAACAGAATGGTTCTGTTGTACTTGTAATCTCCCTTGAGTCCCACGGAGAAAGGCAGACTACAAACGAAATTAAGTAAATGAAAAGGCACGACTAAGTTTGGGAAGTCAAGGGTATCCTTCCACTTTTGTCCGGTATCCATCCGGATCTGGGGAAGGCCTCAGGCTCTGTGTGGGACCTCAACGGATGAGGAGCCCCCAGCACAGGGAAGGTGACACGCAAGTCGCTAGGCAGACAAAATGGCTGCACGATTTCCAGGAAACAGTTTCCAATTTGCGAACTGAGCTCAGACAAAGAGACGATGCTTTAAGGTGTACGTTCTAATTATCTACAGTGACAGGCCTGTCTGTGATCATAAAGACAGCAGTATTTTTTAAAAATTCTGAATTAATGATGATAAGAAGAGAAGGAGATTGGATTTATACCTGATGACCCTTCACTACCCAAAGGAGTCTCAGAGCGGCTGACAATCTCCTTTCCCTCCCCCTCCCCACAACAGACACCCTGTGAGGTTGGCAGGGCCGAGAGAGCTCTTGACAGAAACGGCTCTTTTTCAAGAACAGAACTACGGCTTGCCCAAGGTCATCCAGCAGCTGCAAGTGGAGGACTGGGGAATCTCCCAGGTTAGAGTCCGCGCACTTAACCACCACACCAAACATTTCTACCTCAAAAGAAGACAAACAGACTTCCACATGAGCTTTCTATTTCTTGCTTCCGTAATGATTCCAGCTCCCCTGTAACATACCAGTGGCTCCAAAGTAGTTGCAACCCCAAACTCCACAAAAGGGATAAGGGGAGACTGTGGCTGGCAAACGTCCTCCGGCAGGAGAGCAAATGTTTTTTGAAGGGGACAGAAAAATGCACCCGAAGCAGCCCCAGGACAAAAAAAAGAGGGGGGGGGGAGAGAGAGGGGAGGGAATGGGCCTGGAGACAAGAGAAGGAGCCCCTAAGGCAAGAGCTCCCCTCTTGGATCGACAAGGAGCCCCTGTGCATCTCTCCCCGTCCACCCGAAGAAGCCCATTTCTTTGGGAAGTGGAACCGTAACTGCATGCCTCCCCCGCCTGTCACAGGTGAACACAGGGGCATAACACCTGCGCTCTCCACCCAGGTCCGCCACCTGAGCCGTGCCCTTCACTGCAATGCTGGTGGGCTCAGCTCTGCTCGCTGGGCGTGGTGTCCTTCCAGCCTGTGGCACTCTGGGCTTTTGAAGCCGGAGGTGTCAGCACACTTATCACGACAACTTCCTTTAAAAACTTAGTGCTTATGAGAATGCGTACCCCTTGCGTAAAGCTGGCTTTAATTCCAACAGAACAGCTCAAACAGGGTTCCCCAATATGGCGCCCACGGGCACCGAGACCTTTCCTGGCACTGGCCGAGTGTTTATACAAAATGGGTGGGGCCAGGTGGGGCTCTTGCCCAGCTGGGCTTCTGATTGGCCACTGGATATCTGATTGGCTGTACAGATTAAAATGATGCTGCTTCAGCAGCTGCTGCCATCGCAATGTTGCTTTTATATTCTCTCTCTCTCTCACTCACTCTTTTCCAGTGAATTTGTTTTTTAAAAAATCACCCTTCTTCTCCCCTGCCCTTGGGCTTCCTCTGTGTTTTTGTGTGAGGCTCCGCCCGCCCACAGCGGCCATTTTGCGGTTGGCTCCGCCTCCTGTGGCCACCATTTTATGGTTGTGCCATTCACCCTGAGTCGGAACCCCCTGCCACCTGCATGGCTTCGAAGGCAGGGAGACCCCTGAGATGAAACAAACAAACACAATCAGGTGATGGACGGAAACCAGGGGCCAGCCAGTGGTGTGCCCATGGGAATGCACCAAAATGCACAAACATGTGTGGCCAGGGGATACTCTCAAGTGCTTCACTGGAGATAAGTGCGCAACACGTTCCCTCCCCCCCCCCAAAAAAATATTCCCAATGGCTACCAACCTGCAGTGACCAGTGCAACAAGAGACCACGAAACAGGGGTTCATCTTGGAAATTCACATACAGAGATATGGTGGCCCTGTTTAGGCAGAAAGGCGGAATATGAATGCTGTAAATAAATAAAATATTGGGTGGGATCCTGTCCAATGCTCCCTCTAAGCTGTGGAGTCCTGTGAGAAAAAGATTCTACTATGTGAGCTACCGGCATTAAAGTTGTGGGCGAGCGATTTGGCTGCTGCATAAATCAGTTGGCTCTGGAGCCCTCCTTCCTGAGCTGAGACAACAAATGTGTGAGCTGGAGGCTAAAAGACTGTGACCTAGCTCACACTAACTCGGCTGAGAGGGAACACTGATCCTGTCATCTGTCCATGGATGGTGTTCATGGATGTCAGTTGTGGACCAGAGGGCTCTGATCTAGCAGAGCTCCTGAGTTCTCAAAGACACAAAATGCTTCCCAGAATATGCAGTGGGCCTCTGACAGAAGTTGCTTCATTCCTAACCAGGCTGTTCTGTTCTGTTCCTTCAGGCCCGCTGAATATAGCATCGATGGTGATGTTTCACAGGCAGACAGCCAACACAGGAGGTAGATTAACCATCCGGGGGGGGGGGGTTGTTGCCTTAAATGGCCGTGTTCCCCTTGACTGGGACACAGGACTTGCAACTCTGATACAAGGAACTGAGCAATGCACCTGGCCAGCTCTCTAGAGACGGCCACAAGGGCTTCGGAGCGCAGGTGCGGACATTCTTTTGTGAGGTAAATGTTTTACCACAGAATTACAGTGCGGTGCTTTATAGATTTCATTATCAGACTTGCAACAGGCTTGGGAAATAGGCCCTGTCGTGATCTGAGCTGTGCCACCAGAGGCCTACTAGGCCCAGGGAGCCTGACTAGCAGTAGGTGAGGCTGGGCCTACAACTCCCAGAAGCCCCTGAGAGGTTTTGGAGCCAAAATTGACCAATAGGAAAAGAGGAGGGCTTGGAATAAAAGATCTGGAGCAGCAGGAAAAGCTGTTCTTCTTCCCAGAGGGCAGAGCCAGAAGGAAGGCTGCTGTGGGAAGAAACCCTCATCCTGAGGGAAGGGTGAGTAGTCTAAGGCCACTGCAGATAGTGAGCTAGGGGCAGTACATTTAGATGCGTAAGGGCATTTGATTTCTTTTCTTTTCACCCACTTACTGTTATTCTGCACCTTGTTGTTTGATCTCCTATAAAATAAACCTTTTCCTTGTTGTACTCTGCCTGGTCCTCACGCCTATCATTCGGCCAAAAGGGAGGTCTGAAGGTCTTGGGAGGGTGCTCTGGACCTTCTCAAGGGATCCTAAATCCAGAGTGGTGGCAGCGTCAGGTGACACCCCACCTGTGCTGTGACAGGCCCCCATGGAGTGGGAAGTGTTCACGATTGGCCTTTGTCCAACCACTCAGTCTCCAGTGTACAACCACTGAGGGCCAAACGAGACGTCATGCAGGAAATGTGCAAATAATTCCATGATGGACGTTCTGCTAGGGGAAAGGACTGCGGATAGAGCAAGAGATGTGCAGCCACAGGAGGTGGGCACGGCTTAGCTAGCATTTCCCTGCTCAGAACCGCTTCCCCTCCCCAGCTACTTTTTTCTAACCACAAGAGGAAAAACAGTGTGTGTGTGTGTGTGTGGGGGTGAGTTCTGAATGGAAAAACAGTCTCAGGGGAAGTAGGAGAGCCTTCTGTCAACCTGGAAGACTTTTCGTCAGGAACTCAGCCCCCAGACGATCCACACCATCTCCTCCACAACGCGTGGCACCCTGTCCTGTGGGATCTTTGGGTGATCGGCCTGCCCTTTGCCCAGATCGGCTGGTGAACTGTTTGGTCCAAGTGCATGGCAAGACAGTCTCGAGCGCCTTTTTTCCCCAGGAGCCTCACCCCGCCTTTCCGCCTTTCATGGAAAGTAGCAGTTATTACATCTCCATCCAAGGATACCCTGGAGCTAATTGGACGGTGGCATGATTACAATCGTCAATCAAAAACCTGGCACGTAAACAAGTTGGAAGACAGCACTGCAAAACGTCGGTCTAATCTGAAGGCACTGTAAGACTTCTCCTTACTTTTGGTTCCAGTCGGAATTCTTTGAGGAGAGACAGGATTGTGTAACTACACTGTTGGTCTGCCTTTGTGTGTGTGTTTCGACAACTGGCTACAGTGTTCTATATCTTCGGGTGCACAAAGATCTCCTGCTCTCTCCGCTGCTCGGAGCCTCCCCCGTGACGAGCCCCCTCTCCGTTTCCCCCTCAGTCCCGCACGGAAAGCCCACCTCTTCCCGGAAGAGTCTGGGTCCCCAGGTCCTCCTCTCCTCCAGAAACTCAGCCTCAGGGCGTGCCCCACCTATCTTCCCTCAGGCCTGCCTCCCCCCCCCCCGGTTGCCTGAGAAGTGCGAGTTCAGCTTCTCCGGGCAAGAAACTGTCTTCCGTTTGTTACTCTCGGTGTCAGGACAACAGCATCGTCCATGATTTCAAATAATTGTTAATTAAGGAAGGTTGGGGGTGAGGACTAGTGTTCCCTCTAAGCTGAGTTAATGTGAGCTAGCTCCCAGTTTTTTAGCCTCCAGCTCACACATTCTTGTCTTGGCTCAGGAAGGATGGCTCCAGAGCAAACTGATTTATGCAGCAGCCAAATCGC